GCGCTGCGCCGCCGCAGGCCGCCGCGGGCCGCCCCGGGCCGCCGCGGGCCGCCGTGGGCCGCCGCGGGCCGCCGTGCGCACTCACTCTGGCAGGGCGAGGAAGGCGGCGTCGAAGGCGCCCCTGACGGGGGTGGGGCTCTCCACCAGGTTGGCCACCTCATCCAGCAGATCACCCCTGGAGGACTCGGGCACCACGCCGCCCACCTGTGGCGGCGCACATGCGTGAGATCAAATTGAAGGGCATGAAAGATGTTGGGATGATGATGATGATGGCGAAAAAGAATGTTGCAAGGGGAGAGAGCAGACGGCAGTGGGGTTTTGCACGCCGCCCGCCGCGAACGCGACATCCCGCGCCGTGCGGGGAGAGGGCAGATGGCGGGTAGCGTCGGGGCAGCGCCGGGGCGCGAGAGGGGGAGGGGGTGGCGCCAGGCAGGCGGCGCCAGCTGGCGGCACCGCCTGGAGCCTTGCTGGTGCAGCGGCTCCACCTCGATGCGCGCACCTCTGCGGCCGCGGCGACAGTCGCCGCCCAGATGTCCTGCCGCCGCCGCTCGAGGTCCAGAGTGATGCGCTCCCTTTGAAGGGGGGCAGAGGAGCGGGAGCGGAGGCGACGTGTTTGAAGGGGAGCAGAGGAGCGGGAGCGGAGGCGACATAGGTGGGTGTCGATCGGAGGGGAAAGGGACAACCGTCTTTGTGCTGCGTGTGTGAGCCAGTGCGTACGCGTGTGCGTGTGTGTGTTTGCGTGTGTGTAGGGGTGTGTGCGCACGCGCGTACGCAAGCATGTGTTCGCGTTTAGGAGGAGGATGGGAAAGTGAAGGCGCAGGGTCATAGGACTTTGTGACGTCATCACCCTGGTGACTCGACAGGAGAACTGAGAGGCGCACGAGTGCGCGCGGAGTGCTGGAGCGTCCCAGTGCCCAACACAATCACTCTGCACCCCCTCCGGCTGCGCAAGCCAAACTGAACGGCCCAAAAGCAACACGCCGGGCACGATGCGGGAGGAGGTCCCGCGGCAGGCGGCGCCTCGCCCCTCGCCGCGCCGGGCCGCCCCGCACCTGGCGAGAAGCTGCTCGTACTCCTCAGCGCTGCCCACCCGCTGCTCTGGCTGCGCCGCGTTGCGCAGCACGCGCGTGGCGGCGCCCGCCAGGATGGGCCCGTACACGAAGGGCAGGGGGGTGTCGCCGTGCAGCGCGAGGAGCCAGCGCATGGGCCGCGAGTAGGCTGCGGCGGGGTCGAGGCAGGGGTGACGTAATCGGGTTGGAGGCAGGACGGGACGGTCTGCTGCTGCCTCAGGGGGCAGGTGAAGTTTGAGGCTGCCTGGTGTTTGAAGGACGGCATGCAATGGATCAATCAGGCCTGGTACGAGGCCCCTCTGCATCAGCTGAGCCGGGGTGCGACGGAGGGACTGCCGAGGCAGAGGGAGCCTGACAGGCAGCTTGCGATGCGCCAACGGTTGCGACGGCAGCGGGGCCTGGAAGATGGGTTTGGGTTTCGAGCGGCGCTCACCTGTGTCGCCGCGCCAGCGCATGCTCTTTTTGAACGAGATCGAACCCACCAGCGCTGGCAGCTCATCAGTCAGCACCTGTGAGTCGGATTCAAGATTGGAGTGTGTCGCATGCATGTTGTGTGTGCAAACGGGTGCATGTGCGTCACATGATCGGACTGCAAAGGTGGGCGGTGGGGTCATGCCCCAGGCGGAAGACAAGCGGCTACGGGCGACGTCTTTGGCAAAGGGACATGCAGGGCCGCCCACACATCCGCCTGAGCATGCCCCGGCCCCGCCTCAAGAGCGAGGCCTGCAATCCCGCGGTGTGCGCACGCAGGACGTATGCGCGCGCTGGACACCTCCGGGAGGCCCTCTCACCTCTGCCGCGCTGCGTCCCGCGTCCTTGACTACGACCCAGCAGTACTCCACCCCCTTGGCATCGGCCTCCACCGCCACAGAGGACGGGTCTGCGCCCGCCTTTTTGCAGAAGCCCTCCAAAGCCTGGGGATGCGTGGGGTTGAGGGGGCGGAAACGGGCGCGATTGGGAGGAGGGTGGGCCGGAGGGTGTATGAGATGGGAGTGGGAGGCGGCAGGATGGGGTGGGGTGAGGCAACCAATCAAACCCCCTGCTCCGCACCCAGACCCAAGAAATGCAAAGAAAAGCCCTAGGCGGGGATCGAACCTTGGTGGGCTTGCCGGCGGCATCGAAAGCCGCCTTTGCCGGCGGCCCCCTGACGCGGCTCTCGATGGGCTCCTGCCTGGCGGCCAGGCCAGACACGAGCACCGCCAGGCGGCGCGGCGTGCCGTGAACCGTGACGGACTCGTGCGCCAGGCGCAGCCGCTGCAGCAGCGCGGGGATGCGCTCCCTGCAAACGGGTGGTTTGGGGCGGGGTGCGGGCGTCTTGAGGGCGGAGGCACGGGGTGTTGGTGACTGGGATTGTGGGTGGCGGCTGCGGTATGGGCACGAAAAAGCGTGGTTTCACACGTGGTTTCACAGAGGCACCTGGGTTGAGAAAGAAACTGCAGGGTAAGAACAAGAGGAATCTTCAGGCGTTGGAAGTGGCCCTGCACCTCCAGCCGACCCGGCCCAAGCGCCGCACATCCCAGGTATGTGACCGCGGCAGTACCAAGACGGCGCCGTGCCATGCGCGCAGAGGCAGTGGCATCGAAGCAGTGCCAGCACGGATCTAACAACTTGCTCTCAAATGAAACGGCAGCATCTGAAATACGGTAAACAGGTGCACAACAATCACAGCCTGCGGCCCACCTCAGCTGCGCGATCCCCGAGAGGACGTCGTCTGGCGGCAGCTCCTCGCTGCCAATCTCCAGCACAAACGCCCTCGGGGGCGCGCCGGACGGCGGCGGGGCGGGCTTGCCGGGGGTGAGGGCCTCTGGCGGGGCGACCTGGCCCAGAGGGTAGCCCTGCTCCTCGCGCCGCTCCAGCCACAGGGCTGATGGAGGTGCGTTAGGACGCGCAAATGGTAAAAGATGGGGCCGGAGAATCAGGGAGCGGGGATCGGTCAAGGGTGGGAGGGGCGGCCGGGGCCGCGGGCGGAGCGGAGGGCGGGTGGGGAGCTAGCGCGGGGCGTGCAAGTGGACGCCCCATGGTGGCTGTCAGTCTCACCTTCGTCCCAAGCTCCCTTGCCCCCTACCCTTGCTGACCCCAAGCCAAGAACCTCTGTGCAGCGCCAATCAAGAGGACGGCTGCGCCATAAAAGCAATCAAACCCACACAGTACACACAAACGCGCCCCGGGTAGGAACCAAGCAAACCCCTTCCCCCTGCAACACCACCACTCACCGGTGACCTCGCGCGCGAGCGCCCTCATGGTCGCAAAGCAGTCGGCGCGCTCGGTGACGCCCACCGCGCCGCGGGCATCCAGGACGTTAAAGGTGTGGCTCAGCTTCAGCAGGTGGTCGTAGGCGGGCACGGGCAGCCGCTTGGCCAGCAGGCGGCGCGCCTCAGCATCAAACAGCGCGAAGCGCTGGCGCTGCGGTGTGTGCGGGATACGGTGGTCGCGGTGCGACGCAGCGTGCCGTCAGCAAGGCGTGGTGGGTGGGAGGTTTGGGGAGGGGGGAGGACAGTGATCCGCCGGCGGGGTGCGTCGGCGAGCGGCAAGGGGGCCGGTCATCCCTTTGTCTTGCCCGTCCGCTCGCCTGCCCTGCGACAGCCACCAGGCCCTCCCAGCTCGCGCGCCACGCGGCCTGGCCGTCTGCCTGGATCGCCACCGCGGTGACATCACCATGACCGCCACCAAACACCTAAAAGCAGCGCTACAGAACGCAAAGCGGCGGCGCGCCCGTCACACTGGGTTTTGAAAAACCTGCAGAGACTGATGTGAATGCTGCAAGGAACGGCTCGCACCTGCTCCGCCACGTCAGCCTCGTCGAGGTTGTAGCAGCTCATCTCGTACTCGTTCTGCAGGAACAGCTCCCCATAGGTGACCGCGTCGTTGTACCTTGGAGTGATCGACGGCCGAGGTTGCGAAAGATCAACCGTTACCCTCCGCCGCCGCTCAAGGCATGCCTTTGGGAGCTGCTGTGCGGCGGCTGAGGCTGACCGCGGCCGGCGCCAGCTGAGGCCCTGCTGGTTTCCAGCGCGCCGCCACCCTGGCCAGCACCCCGGCCTCAGATCCCTCCCCCGGCGTCTCATCACATCCGGCCCCTCGGCCAGATCATGTCCCGCTGCCAGATCAGATCGCCCCGCCCCTCTCACTTGATGTCCTTGAAGTGCTTGGCGCCCTGCCGTGCCATCAGGATCCGCTCCATGCCGTACGTGATCTCAACAGCCGGCGCGTCCAGCACCTTGCCGCCAGCCTAGTGGGTTTGGAGGGGCGGAAGTGGAAGGGGCGTGGGCAAACTCAGAATGCGGGGACTGGAGCCCAGGCGGGCACTGCAAAGACCGAATGTGATGCAGGAACCAAGCGGATGCGGATCTGGACTGCAGTTTGCATGCCATGGGTGGTGCGGCGCCCTGCGGCGGACCCTGACGCAGTCAGACGAGGCGGGATGCGGCGTCCCATGGAGGCTGCAGCGGCGCGCAGCTGCTCCTCGACCGCGCCGCCCGTTTGCACGCGCGGTAGAAGGGTTGTTCTCGGCGTCAAATTCCCACCTGCTGGAAGTACGTGAACTGCGTCACCTCCATGCCGTCCAGCCAGACCTCCCAGCCCAGGCCCCAGGCCCCCAGGACTGGGGACTCCCAGTTGTCCTCCACGAACCTGCAGGGTGCACCAGCGGTCAGCCGTTGAGTGGGTGTGTGACAGCAGGCGCATGCGCGAGCCAGCGTGCCGTCTTTTTGGAGCGGCGGACTGCTCCAAAAGCAGCATGGTTTGTCGGCCGGCGAGGCAGGGCCGATGTGGCGTTCAGAGCCTTGGGGCGCGTCCACGCGGTTGCCTCCAAGCATAGGTCAGGTGCTGCGACGCGGCGGAATGATGCCCTCGGCACGCCTGCAGCAGACGTCCCTAGCGACGCTTTGGACGCCATGGGGCCAGCCGTTGCGCCCGACCGAAGGTGACCCCTCCGCCTGTGCTCGGCGAACGAGCACCACACTGATTTGACCGACTGGGAAGCAATGCTAAGGAAGCATATCCAAGGTTTCCAAAAAAGAAATCCCAAGGTTTTCAAAAGGTTGTCACCTGATGTCGTGCTTCCGCGTGTCAATGCCCAGGGCCTCCAGGCTCCCCAGGTACAGCTCCTGCGCGTTCCCTGCGGCGCACACGGGGCCATGACGGCGCGGCTAAGTCGGCGCAGCCAAGCCTCCCGCGACGCAGGGGGAGCCCCGCAGCGCGCGCGCGCCAGAGCCGCCCGACCGCCGGTGACTCGGACGCACGATCGACACAGCACACGCCGCAGGCTGCAACACTTTCTGCCGGCCCGGAGCTGTCCCCGCGCCCTGCCGCCGCCCCACCCCGCTCGGCCCGCGGGGTTTCCGCCCGCGTGCGCGGCCCCGACCCATCGTCGCTTGGCCCGACCGCCCGGCGCGGTGCTCTTTGTGCCGTGAGTGCGCCCACCAGGGTCTGGCTTGAGGATGACCTGGAACTGGGTGTGGCGCTGCACCCTGTTGGGGTTGTCGCCGTAGCGGCTGTCGTCGGGGCGCACGCTCGGCTCCGGGTAGGCGACGTTCCAGGGCTCGGGGCCAAGAACCCTGCTCAGGGGGGTTGCGTGGGTGTGCGTGCGTGTGTGCGTGCGTGTGTATGTGCACATGTGCGCGTGTTGGCCGTGTTTTGTGTGGAAGTGAAAGAATGCACAGGTGTGCGTGTGCGTATGCATGCGACTAGTGTTATGCAGGCCGATCGTCGCGTTTGCAAATGTGCGTGTGAGCTGCAGTGTTCGTTCTGCAGTGTACGGCTCGACCAGGGTAGCGCCCAGCTCGCGCACAAGCTGCATTCCTTTCCCCTTCCCGGATGGCTGAAAGCCGCGCCCCCGGACGCTGCCGGAACTGCAGCATCCCAGCCTGCATCAGCCCCATGGGCCCTGAGTCAGCCGGGTCGGCCGCATGCGACGGCCACACACCCCCGTTTCAGCATCCAGCTGCTTATGCCCGCACTAGGAGGGCGGCCGCCTCCCGCCTGCCTTCCTTTTCGCACCTGAGGAAGGTTGCAGGGTTCATGGTGCCGGCGCCGACCTCTGTGTTGTGCGGCATCCACACCACGCAGCCCCTGGAAGCCCAGTAGTCCTGCAGCCGCCTGATGGCGTCCTGGAAGGTGGGCGCTGTCGCCGCCGCCTGGCCGTTGCCTGCGCCGTTCGCGGCCACCGGCTCGGCAACCACAGGCGCGGCCGGCGAGGCCGCCTCGGCGGCAGCAGCGGCGGCGGCAGCGGGCGCGGCAGACGCGAACGGCGCGGCAGGCCGGCGGGAGAAGCCGCGAGAGGCGGCGGCTGCCCAGGGGGCAACTGCAGGGGCCGCGGCGGCTGCTTGGCGGAGGGGCGACATAAGGGCGGCGCTCCTGGCACGGGACAGCGCGCGCAGCGCGCTCAGGCCTGGCCGCATGGTGGGTCCAGAGCCAACTGCACTAGTGGTGATGCTGCTGCTGCTGCTGCTGGCGACCGGGCATCCACGCATCTTGGTTGTGCCAGCTCACAACACACGCCTGCGGAGCAAATTCGGGGAGGCGCGGTACGCGCGTGTATGCAGCGCGCGTGGTTGCCGTGCATACTGCGGGTGCGCTGCGTCTTGGTGCTTCACAGTGGCCGGCATCTGTATAGTCGCAATCATTAGCCTAAACCGCTTGTGTAACATGGGTTGTTGCCATATATCGCGCGGCGCCAGGATCGATATTCACAAGGCGCCAGCCAAAATGGTGGCCCGCACGGGCAACCATTTGCTACAAGACCGCACTGGTCACGTTCATGGCCTGTAATACGCATAGTTCAATCGTGCTGCCCCGCTGACCTTGCTTGAAATGAGCGCAGGCTGTGGAGCGAGCAATGCACGTCCCGAGGCCCGCGTAAAGCCGCTAGCTGAGCGAGCACTTGTGGTGAATATGGTGCTTACTAGACTCGAATAATCAAGCACCGCGCAGCAGAGTACTGATAGCTCAGTACCGGACATTGCCTTGTGGCGCTGGTCACCTTCTCACTGCTGCCCACCTGCACTCTGCATGCTGCACCCTGCTGCTCTCAGTTTAATGTCAGGCATGGCTGTCGATCCAATTATTAGGCTGCTTCAACTGGCACGTTGCACTGCAAGCACATAGTCAATGGTTCAAAGCTGACCAGTCAACGCCTGCAAGGCCACATTGCAGTCCATTGCTGCAAGCAAGCACTTGTTGCCGCTGCCGCGACAAGGATCAGCGCGAGTGATAAGTTTCATGCTCCCTTACATCATGACAGAGGGACTGGTCAGATATGCGAGCACTGTCTGGGTACAACAGCTGCGGACCAGGGCACGGCCACCCCTGCAATCCCGAGATGCGTACGTGCCGGATCCGGTTCGCTTGCATGCGCTTTCAGGGTTGCGCAGAACCACCAGCGCACTGCCGCAGAAGTGCAGTCTGTACACAACTTTATAGGCAACTTTGCTCAACAGTTCACAGCGGAAAGCGAAAGCCCAGCAGCGGCAGTACGGGTGCAGGGCTGGCAGGGCGCTGACAGAGGACCTGCAGAGGACAGGGAAGCTGAGTGATGCGCCGCAAGCCCGCTGATGGCTGTTGCGTAAGTTTGTTTGGTCCCAGCGGCATGTTTGCGTATGTTTCAGACACTGCCCATCATCGCCACTTCTCCCACCCCCACAGGTGTGCTGCCTCAGGCACCTGGGGGAGTGAGCGGGCTGCTCACGCCCCCACGCATCATCATGGTGCACATGCGGCCGTGTTATGAAACGGTCATGAATCGCGCACCAAGGCTCCATGCTCGGTGATTGCACAGATTCTTGGCCGTTATTTTATTGATGCGGTTTGTTCGAGTCCGCTAACCCTTCGTTGAGATCCTCGCAACAGTTGCTCACGGGACCAACGGCGTGTCCAGCCCTTAGTGTGCTCGCACGTGCCATCCAAGCAAACACAGCGAACCATGTCGACCCCCAGCACCAGCGATAGCAGCCACGAGCGCTGCCTCGCCATAGTCACCGGGTCGACCAGCGGCATCGGCAAAGCGATCGCGGTCGACCTCGCGCGCCGCGGCTTCACCGTAGTTGTCAACGGCCGCTCCCAGGCGTCTGTCGACTCCGCCGTCGCGGACGTCAAGGCCGCGTCCGAGGCGCCGCTCGTGCTCGGCGCCGTAGGGGACCTTGGGACTGAGGCGGGCTGCGCCAACTTCATCACTGATGTGGAGGCCCTTAGCAAACAGCATGAGCTGCCGATCAACGTCCTGGTCAACAACATGGGGATATTTGAGACAGCCGACTTCTTTTCAGTCCCTGACTCCACTTGGCAGCACTACATTGATGTGAGACGTATCCCTGGGACTGTTGTTTGCCTGCACGGCCAGCAGCTGCATGTGTGCTCTTGCACTGACCAGCTCGACGCCGTGCCGGCCTTGATGCGTGCGCCGGCGCCCGTACCTCCTTCTTGAAGCGCCGCTGTTGAAGCAGCATGCTCTAGGCCTGAAGGCGGGCCAAACGGCTTGATTTGGCAGTGAACCCCGCCAGTGACAGCCATTGGCTTGGCTTCTTTGCCCCCAACCCAGGTGAATTTTTTCAGTGGCCTCCGCCTGTCGCGCCACTGGCTCAAAGACATGCTGGCGCGCGGCGCGTCTGGGCGCGTACTGTTCATCGCCAGTGAGACTGGCGTGCGGATCGTCCCGGACATGCTGCACTACTCCATCACCAAACAGATGCAGGTGCGGTTGATGTCGCGCTACTCTTTGCGCTCAGCTGTGAGAACCCAATTCGTGGAAAGCAGCCAAGTGTCACCCACAGATCCAACATGGCGCCAAAAATGCCTTGATGCTGTGCGCTAGTCGCCAGGCTGCTGTCATCCACCGAGCTGTTGCATGGCATGCGAGTCCAAACACAACCTCCAGCTCAGCCAAGTCCTGATGCCGTCTCCACGGCCGTCTCCAGTCTTGCACGCCCGCCGTCCCTCCCTCCACCCCCTCCCTCGAAATAAATGCCATGTGCCTGCTCCTCCACACGCCCGCATGTCACGCCCGCAGATCGGCCTCGCCCGCGGCCTGGCGCAGCTTACGAAGGGGAGCCGGGTGACGGTCAACACGATCTTGCCGGGGCCCACCTGGACGGAGGGCGTGGAAGTCTATATCCAAGGCCTCGCAAAGCAGACCGGGGTCAGCGTCGAGGACGCCACCACGAACTACTTCAAGCAGCGCGAGCCGACGTCGCTGCTGCAGCGGTTCATCCAGCCGGCCGAGGTCGCGGCGGCGGCGGCGTTCCTCGTGTCTGAGGGCGGTGCAGCGGTCAACGGGGCGGCGGTGCGGTGCGAGGGCGGGTTGATATCGCATGTGTGAGGCTGACGGCGCGCATATGACCTTGTACTTTTTGCAGGACTGGGACGTGGTTGATCATGCTGACCTGGCGTCTGGCATGCAGCTGACTTCGTGTGCTATCCCTGAATCCCCCTTCGTGCTGTGCTTGTGATGGCCGTATCGGTCAAGAACATGCTGTCATTGTGCCTACCACATTGTAAAATTCGAGCCAAGGTATCATATACTGGCTTCATGACTATGCTAGTGCAGCCGCAGCGCCGTTCGTCGTGCTGTCAACGAACACCGTTGCAGACGGTGCGGTCGGCCAGTCCAAGGGTCAACTGACACAGCTTGCTGAGCCGCAGTCCAGCGAAGCGCCACGCATGACAAATTGACAAATATGTAGCGACTGTTGACGCGAACAATTTATTATTCAAGGCTCGCGAAGAAGATAATTCACTTCTGGCCCGCATGGACGATGGACCCCGCCGAGTGCCTCAGCGCAAGACTCCGCAAAATCAATCTCATTGAGGTGCCACTCCTGTACCTGGATCGTGAGGCTAGTGCTAGTGCCAGCAAGGCAGTCGTTGCGCCTCCGCCGCTCCGCCCCTGAGCCCCTCTGCTGCCTTTACTCACGCGGGCTCCTGCACGTGAATGCAACTTCGCAGGTGCTCCGGGAAGACGATGACTTTGAGGGGATGATGTTGGATGAGGTGCAGGAGGCGGGGCTGCTGGAAAGGTGGGCGACGAGTTTGAAGGCTGTTGCCTCTCGTCAACTGCCCTTGAAGATGGCCAGGAGTCATTGCACAGCCCGACTTGACGCGAGCAACGAGCAAACGCAAGCTGTTGACTCTCGGCTGAACAATGACAAGTGGAAACCCTTGGCATGCCTTTTCCAGGTCAGAAGCAGAGATCCGTGCCTTCTTCCGCAGCCGCGGCCAGCAGCACGCAGCGACCGCACGCGGCGGCGACCGTGCGCTGTCCCCACCCACGGCGGCAAACGACCTCGCGGCGCTGCAGCGCGCGTGGCCGCCGCCAGGGGCTGACGACGTGAGGAGGTGGTTCCCTGCCCTGCGGTCGCACCAGAAGCTCCGCAAGTGCGCGCCTGCCGTGCTGCCTCTACCAGGCAGTTGCCAATCTCGCCGCCTGCATTGCCCAGCTTGCCTACGGGCAGCGAGGGGCACCGGCACCACCCGCTTGCATGCGGCACCCCAGCGCAAACCACATTTGACCTGTGAATGCCAATGCCACCTGCACCCCCTCCTTCAAACCTTCCCCTGCTGCACCAGTGCCCACACCATCGTCCTGGCTTTCCCCAACAGCGGCAGCGCGGAGGACTTGTACTCCTCAGAAGGCACCGGCGCCAGGCGCGCCCCCAGCCCTCTGCTGGTGAGCGGCCTCCACTGAACAATGCCCCAATTGTTTCCCGCGCACACACGCGTGCTGTGCCTCGCCGCCTGCACGCCCGCCCCCGCCACAGGCGGCCCACGATAGTGCGAGCCGGGCAGGGGCCCCAGCGCCCGCTGTGAAGCCCGTGCACACCTCCATCCTGCAATGAAGCAAGCGCCCGTGCCTCGCGCCCAAACTCAACTCTGCCGCCAGGATTGGTGCCAGACCAGCGGGGCGGTCTTGACGGCGGTGCAGCCGCCCGGCCGCGGCCTGCGTGCGCGCGAGCCCCCACTGCCAGACCTCGCGGCCCTCGCCGCCGCGCTGCTGCCGGTGGCCGCGCCGGCATTGTTGGCGGCGGGGCGCTACTTTGTCGTCGGGCACAGCGTGGGGGCTTGGGCCGCGTACGAGTTCCTGCAGCTGGCCAGGAGCAGGGGTGGGTGAGGTTGCCCCACCGCGCATTCTGCCAGGGCTGGAGCTGAGCGGGCGAAAGGCGTGGCAGCTGACTTCTTGTAGACCAGGGCCAGCCGGACAGGCGGGGACGGCGCTGTCGGTTGCTCAGGCTCTCATTAATTGCACATACAATGTGTGTACTCACACACACACCGCGCTGCATGCACTAGAGTGGTCTGCTCCGCCCTCTCCACCGCCGGCGCTCCTTCACGTCCGCGCGGCAGGCCTGCCAATGCCGGCCGGCGCGTTCCTGTCCGCCATGCCCGCGCCAGACATCCCCGAGGAGGAGCGGCCCTGGCGGCGGCAGGCGCTGCTCACGGATGAGGAGTTCAAGGTGGGCAGGTGCCTGGCAGCTGCCGGGCGCGCAGCGAGCCCGCGCGCGCGGCCTTTACGTAGGAATCGACGCTGGCAGGCACACGGCTTATCCAGTTACCCCCTCCCAATCAGGCTTCCATCAAGCAGGCTCATCATAGTTGCTTTCAGTAGTGCCTAAAAATGCCCTAGACGGACCTGCCGGCCTGCCGATCGTCGGGCCCCTGTGCGCAGGCGCGCACACTGCAATACACGCTTGCCTGCGTGCGCCTGTGCTTGTCCGCTGGCGCCACTCCCTGCCGACAACCGCGCGCTCTCCCTGAATCCCCCCTCGACCTTGCACGCATGCGCGCGCCACTTTGCACATCCCAACACGCCCAGGACGAGTGCCGCCAGTGGGACATCAACGAGGTCGTATTCTCGCCAGACCTGTGGCCGACCTTTGAGCCGCTCCTGCGCGCCGACTTCCGGCTTTTTGACGAGTACCACCACCGCCACCCCACGCCCACTCCGGCCCCTCCTTCTCTGGGTTGGTCCGTACCGGAGGCAGCGGGGGCGCCGCCGTTTGCGTTCCCTGTGACCGCTTTTTGGGGCGACGAGGACCGGCGGATCGGCGAGCGCATGGTGCAGGTGCGCGCGGTTGACGCTTGCTTTGAGGTGGGCGGGAAGGGGGGGGGGGGTTGCCGCAGCGCAGCAACTGCCCGACGGCTCCCGTGATCTGAAGTGGTGCCCCCAGGCAGCCGATAAAGGTTTGCTTGTTCCCGCCCCATGTGATGCACCTTGTTGTGAAATGTATTCCAGAGTGCCGCCGACACACTTCCTTCTTGACAGCAACACAAGCGCCCAAACTCCAGCCACGCCCCGCTCAGGCGCATTGCATGCCACGCCAAGCCTTCCGTCCACCCCGCCGCGACGCGCCCCTTGTTTTCGTCTTCTTCGGCAGGGCTGGGCCCGCTTCACCCGCGGGCCATTTGCGGTGGTGCGGCTGCGCGGCGCCAACCACCTGTGGCCGGGCAACAACAGGGCGGCCAAGCGCGAGTGGCTGGAGAGGATTGTGGCAGGGATGCAGGGGACGGGCCTTGATCTTTGACAGGCATGGCTGGGTGCGTATTGCGCGGCGCTGTTGGTTGTTGTGCGGCTGTGTGGTCGGTGCCGCTGGGCGTTTGTGGCTGAGCCTGCACACCTGCCCAGACAAACATCCATTTATATCTGTGATGCGGCGGGCACGAGCAGCCCGCAGCGCCTGAAGTTGTAAAGCTTCATGTGGTCATGACTTGAGGCGGGGTGGCAGGCGTCGCTCGCTGCTTTCGTCACGGGGGCGCTCGCTGCTGCGTCGTTGGGGGTCGTCCGCAGTGTGACGTTGCACTGTTGCTGCAAGGTCGCACCACAACCGGGAAGGCGAAACCAAGGCAAACGCAGTTGCTGATATTATCATACAATTATTTACAAGCTTTTCATGACGCTGTTGAAGGCTTGCGGACTGCGCATGCGTGTGATCCTGCAGCCTGCTCCCGGCGCGAAATCATCAGGCGCGTGAGGCCCATTTGACCCCACCGTGTGTTTGGTTTGGTTTAAGTTCACTTCTTGCCTATCCTCCTGTCGTGGCACTCAGTCGCTTCGTGCTCTCCCCAAAATATCTTTGGTGCGTAGAATCCAGTGCCCGCGACGCGACGCCCTCTCGCCAGCACGAGCGAGAGGATTTCCAGCATAAGACGCACATAGTCTTCAGCTGCGGCTGCCTTCACCTTGTGGGGCCTCGACGCCTCGCGTGGCCCTTGACGCTGGGAGCCCGACCCACAGGCTTGATGTCAGCCGGTCTGGGCCCCGAGGGTGAGTGGAGTGCAACTTATGGCACGGCTTGATCCCGGCGCAGCTCGCTGTCTGGCTGCCAGGGGACAAACCTCGGCCGCGGGATTTTTGTAGCAGCGCACCTGCGCGTCGCGAGCGCGGGACGCGGCACCACAAAGCGCACTTCCACCCATCGCAGGGGCCCTCTCGCCGGTCAAAGTAGCTCAGTACGATACGGGGCAGGTGCAGCCCAAGCAGCAGCGACAGCAGCATGCCGATCCCCAGCAGCAGCAGCAGCAGCAGCGGCAGCAGCAGCAGCAGCCGCAGGAGGAGGAGCGGCACACGCTGCCGCCGCTGTCGGCCACGCGCGCATCGCCGCCGGAGCCGTCTCAGCCGCGCCCGAGCAGCAGCAGCGGCGTCAGCAGCAGCAGTGCGGCCGCGGCGTGCTCGCCGCCGCGCAGCCCCCGAAGTGCCGCCACTGCGCCGCCGCAGCCACGCCACGCGCCCAAGCCCGCGTCTGGGCTGCAGCAGCGGGCGGCGGACCTGACCACCGCGATCTCGGACCCCAATGACATTGTCAAGAGCGGCTATGCAGATGCCCTAGAGGTCGCCGCGGGTGAGCGCCCGAGGCACGATGCCAATCCCATCGGACGGCCCAAGCTCGCTGTGTCCGCCCCGCCTGTGCCGCGTCCGCCCTGCCCAGAGCGCCCCTCTGAGTGCGCCCCTCACCCGACCCCGGTACACCCACGCTAAAGATACCCTACCCTCAACACCCCCCGCTCGGACGCCCCCCGCAGCCGCCGAGAAGCTGCAGGCGCTGCCGCCCAAGACGCTGGCCACCGCCAGCTCGCTGCTGTCCGACCTGCCCGCCACGCTGCTGCCCGTCGTCATTGCAAAGTCGACCGCGCGGCGCGGCAAGGGCGGGCGCCAGCCCGCGGCGGACCCGCGGCTCGACCCCAACATGGACCCCAAGAGGTGCGCGGTGCCAGGCGCGCGCGTCCGCGTATGCGCGCGTGCGCACGCGCGCACGCGCGCACGAGAGAGAGCCTGAGGAGAGTGAGTCACCAAGAACGAGACTGCATGCGCTGAGTACTGGCCCTGTGCACCATGTTTGTGCAATGCATTCTCATCCGCGTTGCCGACGCGAGAATAAAAAAAAGAATAAAAAAAATCCTTAATTCTTCATTTAACGCCCTCATCTGGCACCGAGCCCTGGCGCCTCTGCTTTGTGCCTCGTGCACCCCCGACGCGACTCCCATCTCCCCGACGCCGCCGCCTGCTGATATACGCCATAACCGTCATGACTCACACCCCCAAACGGCGCACCCCCAGGGCCAATCGCATCCTGGCAAACCGCCAGAGCGCCGCGCGCAGCAAGCTGAAGCAGAAGCTGCTGTCAGAGGGCCTCAAGGCGCGCCAGCAGGTACGCCGCGCCCTCCAACTGGCAGGGAGAGGGGTTTTTTCGTGTATGAAGGCTGGGCCGAGGCCAGACTGCCGCGGACTGCGTCTGTGGGAGTGCGATCGGATAGGACCGACGGCTGGGTGGGCGCGGGGGAGGTCAAGGTCAGCGCGCTTTGGCAGCACCAGCATTCCGGTGGAACGGCTACCAGCGGCTGTGGCGCAGGGACCGCCATCACGCGCAGCTGTCCCCCGGCCTTTCTGCAATCCAAATCTGGCTCGACCCCGTCTCGCAGTGGTGAGGATGGGGCAGACCTGTCCTTCTTGGGAACCGCAACCATTGCCACCCATCCTGACGCATGCAGGTGCTCGCCGCGCAGCAGCGGTCAGCCGCCAGCGAGGCGCGCCAGCAGCGCAAGCAGCAGGCGGCGGCGGCGGCCGGCGAGGTGCGGCCTGCCAAGAAGGTGCGTGCATGGGCCGTGGCCGCGGCTGGAATTGCGCGATTGCAACTGCTGGGGCACAATTGCATCCTGCACGCTTGGTGATGTGCGCATACGACAGTGCTCCCATTCAAGGATGGCTTTGCAGCCTTGCAACCGCAGGCCCACGCTGTATGAACGCCGGTGGCATTCGCCTCACCCCTGAACCTTGTGCCCCTCACCCTGACATGACCCATGAATCGCCCCACAGCCGCGCACGTCGCGGGCCCCGCGCCAGCCGAAGCCATCTGCTGAGCAGCCGAAGCCGGCCGGCGCTGCTGCCGCCCCGAGCGCCCCCGCGAGCGCGCCGGCAGCCGCCGCGGCTGCGCCCTCCGCCGGCGCCGGCTGCAGCGTCAACCCGGCGGCGGCGGCGCGCCGCCATCAACAGCACCAGCACAGCGAAGGCGCGGCTCAGCACGCGCAGAATGCGGAGGCGCCCATCACTGCAGCGGCGGCAGCGGCGGCGTTCGCGGCCGCGGCGAAGCGGGAGCCCCTGTTTTCCTCGGACCTGCCCCCGGCCCCAGCGGCGCCTGCGGTGCGATACTCGGGGGCCTCCGCTTCCAACGCCGCGGCCGCAGCTGCGGCCGCTCCGGCGCCGGCGACGCAGCAGCCGCCTCAGCAGCGGTCGTATGGGGGGCCGTGCGGCAGCAGTGACGGCTCCAACGGTGGCCCCGCCGCGACTCGCGTGGCCCACCAACACCACCAACACTCGCAGCCGCAGCAGCCGCAGCCGCAGCCGCACCTGCAGCATCAGCAGCATGCGTGCGCACAGGTACTCCCAAATGCTAGCGCCGCCGCGGCATCCGCGGCCGCGGCCGCAGCGGCGGCCTTCTGGCCCAATGTGGCTGCGGCGGCCGCGCAGTTTGGCGCGTCGGGGGCCGCGCTGCCTGGTGGCGGCTCGTACTTTGAGGCATCCTCATTTGAGGCGGGGTTTTTTCAGCAGCTGCATGCTCTGCACCAGCAGTACATGCAGCAGCAAATTGCGGCTGGCCTGGGTGCGCCCCACCAGCTGATGCCGCCGCCGCCCCAGCCGCTGCCGCAGCAGAGCGGCACGCAGCAGCCGAGCGCCACGCTGCAGCAGCAGCTGTCCCTGCAGCAGCAGCGCCCGCCCGCCGCCGCCGGCACCACGCGGCAGCCGGGCGGGCCGGCCGCCGTCGGTGCGGCGCCGTTGCCCGCGGGCGGCAGTGCGGCGCCGGTGTGGGCGGCAGCGCTGGCGGCGAGCGGGCAGCCGCTGTGGCGCGACCCGAGCATGGGCAGCCGCACGTCCCTTTCCGCCTCGACCTCTGTGCTGCAGCCGCTGCCGGTCGACCCGCAGCGCCACCTGGCGCTCTGCCCCAACAACCAGCCGCAGCCTCAGCAGCAGCAGCAGCCTCAGCAGCAGCAGCAGCCTCAGCAGCAGCAGCAGCCTCAGCAGCAGCAGCAGGCGGTGGCCCCCCCACACGCACCACAGGCTCAGCAGCAGCAGCAGCAGCAGCCCTCCGACTGGGCGTGGCCCGCGAATGATCGGCCGCCCTCTGACGGCCGCGGCGTTGGCGACTCCAATGGGGAGGAGGAAGACGACGGGCAGCGCCTCGAGCTGCCCCCAAACGACTTTGGGTCGTTCGGCGCCGGCGGGTTCGACAGCTGCGGCGGCATGATGCGCCTCGCCGGCGGCAGCAGCGGCGGCGGCGGCGGCGGCGCGTGCGGCGGCGAGGAGGGGGAAGACGGGGACGGGCTGTGGGCGTCCGGCCGCGCGTGCGACGACGCGTTGATGGCCGAGGCGGACGGGATGTTCTGCTGATCTGAGTCTTGGTGACCTGACGCCGAGGTCGGGCAGGCAGGAAGGGCTGCTCAAGAGCATGGGCGCGCGTGCGCCTTGGGCTGCCGTACAGGCGCATCGCAGGGCGGCGCGCGCATACACGCGCGCCGCGGCGCCCACAAATGCATGCTGCGCGTGGTGCCGCTCCGTGACAGCGTGTGTTGCAGTGGTGCTGCGGTAGGGCGCATCACGAGGACGGGCGTCTTCGCTGTTCCGCCTTGTGGGCGGTGCCAGGAGTCCTGCTTAGGAGGGGGGCCCCTCGCAGCCGCAGCGGCCCGCGTTTGAGGGAACAGTGCACAAACCTTGATATGAGACTGCGTCCGGCCTGAAGATTTGAGCATGCAACGATTTCGAGCGGAGCTGTGGCGGGTGCAAGCGCCATTTCGTGCAAGCCTGGGCGGCAGCGCCCGCATTCGTGGGGGGCGCCGCGTCTCAAGTGCAGGCGCGGCAGTGCGAGACGAGCTGCGCCGCGCGTGGCGGCGGTGCGCCGCGCGCCTGCGCAATGCAAGGGCGCGTGCTGTGCTCTGAATGCGAGGAGGGACACGTGAGTGATGCACCATCTACATGCAAGGCTAGCCGTGTCGCGGCGCTTTGATGTTCATTTGGGCTGCTGAGGCAACCCCTTCCCTTTGCTAGATCACACCATGATTGCCAGCGCAGCGACGACAGTGGCGGCGCTGCTCATCCGCACACGGAGCTCTTGTCTCAGGCGCACGCAGGGTCGTTGCACCCGGGCGGTTGCGGGCTGCGCTCACCTTCCCCACCAGGCGCGCCCGCGCGTTTCTGGCATTACGATCGCCGACGCCTTTCCCATCTGCGGCGGCCCCTTCGCGCCCCGCCTCAGCTGTCATCATTCGACGCCATCATCCAAAGACGCGGTGCCAATAGGCCCTCCTCTTTCGCTCTGCGACGCCGACCCAGCCGGCGCAGAGGACTGGGGGCGGGCATGCCCATCTGCCGCAACGCCGCCGTGAATGTCGAATATCATCCTGGCACACAGTGCTGCGACTCTTACCGCCGTTTTGGGCAAGCGCTCTTTACCACAGCGCAAACCCCGCGTCCAGGCCCCCAACAGAGGGTTTGCATGCGTGGGCCTGGGGCTCACATTCTCGAGTCGCACGCTCTCGCCGCCATACCCCTTGGACAGAGCACGCGATGGCAGCCGAACAAGGGTGTGCGGGCGTGTGCAACCGCGCCACACCGCCGCTCCGCCCACGGCCTGGAACCGGGTCGCGCTTGGCGCTGTCGCCGACTGCTCGGCCTTGGTGCGCTTTGAAAGGGCACGAGGATCTTTCGTGTCCACTGCACCTTGCCCCGCCACACTGTTTGGGGCGACCTTGGGCGTGTTTGGTTTGAATCCATTTGTGATGGCCTTGATCCCTCCGCCGTTCCCCCGTCCCCAAGCTCCGACCTCCACGCCACTATGTGAGGACCCGCACACCCTTGTGGCGCCGAATGGCAGCCGATTGCCGCGCAGCACTGCGTTCGGATCGGTGCTGGCAGGGTCACGCACGCGCGCACATACATGCACGCCGCGCCCTGGGGCGCGCGCACCCTGCCAGGTACTCAGAGTGAGTCTTGCATACCAGCGTCGCGGCAGCGCCTCCCGGCCGCCGCGTCGAGAGCTGCATGCATCCTTACAGGTTGGGGCCGGCCCGCTGGCCACAACGCCTCGAGTCTGGTTCTGATTCAATTTCTTTCGAGTTTGGGTTTTGGTTGGAGGGTCAACACTGCATTATCAAATAGGAACAAAAGATATGGCACCCAATGAACGGTCTGCTGTGTAGGCTTGCTTGGAATCAGGAGGGGGGAACACGTGTCATCTTTGCACCCTCTGCCCGCTGCTTCTTGGACTGTTTGTGTTGGCTCAAGTCGAGGGGCCTTCCTGCCTTGGGCTGTGTTGCTCGGTCGCGCGGTCACCCCACCACCCCTGCTGGCTGTGGCTCCCACCACGCGCTGTGCAGTGGGCAAGGGGTGCCGCTGCGCCCATCGCGCTTGCCATCGGGCCTAAAGGATTGAAAAGCGCCATGCAGCGTCGATTTCCATTTACCGCCACGCGTCCTGCCGTCCCCTTGTTGTGTACCCGCCTCGAATCCTCCAGCGCATGCTGCAACGCACGCCGCATGCCCCTGCTCGCGCGCTCGCTGGCAGACCCCTGTCGATGTGTTGTGTGGAAGGTTTGTGTGCGGACGTCCCGCGCTTGCGCGCCCTTGCGTCTGATGTCGTGTCTGCTCGCCCCTGAGAGGGCTTCCCGTTGCTGCTGGACAAACCGCACGATCCACCCCCGCCATCGCCCGTCCACGACAGTTTGCCTTTTCGTCCGGCCATGACTGTTTTCCCAGCAGTATCTGTGGATGTGGTCCCCCCCTGTCTGTGGCCTGATGTGGCCCCCCAACGTCTGGCCAGCGTTTCGTCCCCCTGTCGAGTGTTCTGTGTACTTTTCTCGCGTGCCCAGCCACCACCCACCGTTTCTAGTGTGTGTCACAGAACTCAGTAAACCCTGAACTTGGTCGTGGGCAAAAGTTGGCAGCTGTCGCCTTCACCGTTAGGGTTGACCAGCAGGGTTCAGGGACAAACTTTGCGCCCCTGGCCTGCTGGAAGGAAAGCCAAGCCATTGTGCCCAGCTGTCAATGGAAATCTCGAAGCTGCTGTGCGTCTTCAACTAAAGGTTTGCATCTGCATGGGTCAAAAGCATTACTTTTCCATACAGCGACAGCCCAACAAACGCGGGCAACACATGTTCATGCTTCATCAGTCATCAATCATGACCACCTCATCCACCTGCAGCCGCTGCTGCTGCTGCTGCTGCTGCTGCTGCTGCTGCTGCTGCTGCTGCTGCTGCTGCCCTGCCCCAGCTGCCTGCTCCCCGCCGACCGCCTCCGCGCCTGCCGCCGCCCCTGCAGCTGCTGCTGCATCGGCCCCCGGCGGCGGGAGCGTGTGGACTAGGGACCGCCCAGTCAGGCTGTACAGAAAAATGTTGTTGATGGGTGCATCAGAATGCGACACCGCCCTGATCACGTCGTTGCCCATGATCCCTCCCACCACCGCCGCCGCCGGCGCAAACTCGCCCTCCGCCGCGACCCAGCCCGGCAGCTGCTCCGCAGCCGCCTCGGCCCACGCGGCGCCGCCGGCGCCGGCGGCCGCGATGAGGCTGGCCAGCGCGGCAGAGGCGGCCGGCGCGTCGGCGGCGGTCAGCGGGCGGCCCAGCTCGGATTCCAAGGCGTTGCAGGCTGCGGCGCGGATGCGTGGAAAGAGCAGCTTAGGGTCGGGCGGGAGCGTATGCTTGCCTTGGTGACGTGCGGCACCAAACCGCGACGGCATGCAGTGCATCAACGAGGCGCATGTGTGTGTGTGTGTGTGTGTGTGTGTGTGTGTGTGTGCTCGTCCCGCCCGGATTGAGGAAATCATGGCAATCCCGCAAAGTGTGGCAGTCCTCAAAATCAATCGCGGGCGCCGTACTCACCCAGCAGGACGGGCACGAGCGGGTGGCAGTTGGGCGGCAGCTGCCCGAGCGGCGTCGCCAGCGCGTCCGACAGCCGCGAGTAGCAGACTGTCTGCTCGGCCGGCGCACCCTTGGGCGCGTCGCTGCCGCCGTCCGCCTGGATGCAACGAGTGCGAGGGGCGCACGCGCGCATGGCGTCGCCACTCTCCGTGAAGACATGTGATGGAAAGCCAACCGCCCCCCAAAACGCGTTCGCTGCACCAACTTCAGCAGGCCGCGCGCGTGCATTTGAGTTGCAGCTGCAGGCGGCACACAGCCGGGGTGCCTTGCATTGCATGATCGGCGTCGCGCCCCATGGCCAGATGCCTCGCCCATCCCAGCTACTTGAGCCATCTCAATCAAATGTGCTTGCAGCAGAGGCAGGGCCCACCTTGGGTGTAAAGGTGTGGCGCCCCAGGTCAGCAAAGTAGTAACTCGCAGCCCCCCTGACCGCCGCCGCCATGAACTTCACGCCATGGGCCCCGCACAGCGCGCCAACCTCGCGCGCGAGCCGCAGCGGCGCGCCGATGCAGATCACCAGGTCGTGGCCGCCGAGGAACGACGCGTCCAGCAGCCGCGCGTCCGAGGAACCGGGGGCGGCCGAGACCCTGACCAGAGGGTTCATCGCCTGGAGGGTCTTGGCGGCGGCCTCGGCGCAGCTGAGGATGGAAATGGCAGTTTTGAGTGGGTGCCGATCGCGGGGGGCAGGATGACCGTTGGGCGCAGGGGTGCAGGATTGGGGGGGTGGCACCAGCTCGCCAGCAGAGTCGTGTTGCGGACCGAGTGACAGCCGGAGATGCTGACAGCGCTTTTTCATGCCTGGGTTCCTCGGTGATGGTGGTGAGTGCGGGCGCAAGGCGCGGCTGCTCTGACCTGGCGCCTGCGGGGGCCGGCACAGTGACGAGGAAGCTTCTGCCTTCGTGGTCCGAGGCGGGGCTGTCATCCAGGAGCGTTACGCTACCCACGCCGGCCAGGGTGATGTTCTTGGCGATCTGAGGGATGAGGTCATGCGCATGCTTGGCGCGTCAGGTGATCATCCTCAGCAGTTCCAGTGCGTCGGTTATTGTAAGCACGCAGCTTTAGAGGCGGTTGTTGGTGCAGTGATGTGCGTGGGCGGGCCTCGTTGCGGGCGCGCCAGCGGGCGCCGCACCTCTGCAGAGAGCTTGCCAAAGCCCGCAATAAGCACCCTGGCTGCCGTCAACCTGGGCGGGGTGGTGTGCCATTGCCAGCGCGTCCCCTGGTTGCTTGGAACGCCTCACATGACATGCCAGCAGGTCCGTCCCTGCAGTCCACTAACGGAGGGAGCCGTGCCCCGAGAGCCCGCACAGGCTCCGCAGCCCCTGCTCGCTCACTTTTTCTGTACCTCCACACCCCACACGCGCAGTTGCCTGTCGTACACAGTCGCCTCGTCCTGCGTCAGCTCTGCCGCCGCAGGCGGAGCCTGCGCCTGTGCTGCCGCCATCCAGGCGCCCGTGCAGACGGATCAAGGTAAAATGAGCCGGATCTGGGAATACACTATGTACTCACACAAATCCGTCGGCGTGAGGGGGGTGAAATAGGCACTGGTATGGCGCGAGGCGCGTGCCAGATCACAGCATCGAAACTTCAAAGCACGCGGATTTATTTGGCTTGGCATGTCTCCTTGCGATTATGTTATGCTTTGAAGTTGTCTTGGCCTGCGTTCTCACGACCAACTTTGCAGTTCCGAGATCCGCGTGGGCGACGGCTGATCACCCATTCGCACGTTTAACGTAGCCGAAGGCTGCCAGAGCGTATTGCCATACTCGTGGACGTCTAGCCGGCGCTCTGCGCTAGCAAACAGCGTACATACCGACAGCGCGCAGACGCTGCGGCGACGCCCGCTGCAGCGAAAGCACCCAGGGACTGCCGACGCGCGCCAGCAGCAGCGATGGCGCCGCCGGCTACCTGCAAGGCCATCAAAGAGCCAATCAAGGACGAATGGGCCACAGCGACACGCACGCACGCGTTTCTGCAGGACGTCAACCGCGGCACAATCTCGGATGCGCGCTTCAACACCTGGCTGGCGCAGGTGCGGTTTGATGGGCGACTGTGTCCAGTGACCAGGATGGGGGTGATGAAGATGAGCATGGCTTGGAAATTGCTGTGAGCTGCTGCACATTCGAGTGATGGTGCTGCGCCACCTTGATGAGCCGGCGCTGACAATCCTCGCTGTGCGCCTCCTCGCACTTGGCCTCCATCCCACACCTGCACCCCCCCCACGCATGGCACGTCCCTATCGCGCTGTCGCCCGCGACCCCCCTCAGGACTACCTTTATGTCCGGAACTTTGCCCGGCTGCTGGCCGCGATGATAGCCAGCTGCCCTGACACCCACGTGGTGCGCCGGCCTCAAACCCTGCGGCGCGCCCCTGTCCCCAAACCTGTTTGCGGGACGCAACCGCGCGCAACGCGCACTGACGCTTGGAACGACGACCGCCTGCCGGCGTGAGCGCACGGTCGTGCCGGTCGCCATGAGCAAAGGGGGCCGGCGCTTTGCGCAGCGGCCCTCGATTTGCAGTGTCGCCGCCCGCGCTTCCCTGTCTGCCCCAAGACTGGCTCGGGCACCTGAGCGTTTTGGCGGCTGCCGCGTGGTCCAGCGCGTGCGGCTGCGGGTCGTTGCAACGCACCCGCACTGCCCACCCGCCACTGCCGCTGCCCCAGGACGTCCTTGTGGGTGGCATGGCGGCCATTGATCTGGAGGTGGGGGGCCAGGGGTGCGGGCCAGGCCGGGGCGATAGGGAAGGGGCGGCGAGGGTGTCAGGGGAGCGCGACTGCGGGCGCGCACCTTTGGCCGACGCCTTTGGCCCGCGGCGGCGCCATGTTTCGGCACAGAAATGGCATGGCATGCGCACGCTCGGCTGCAAGCCGAGCACTGGCCTGCCGTGTAGATTACACGGCAATTCACGGCTGGCGCATCAGCGCGATGTCTGGCTGCGAGCCCACTCCTCCCACGTTGCTGCTCCCGCCTCAGCTCTCTCTGCCATCCGTATCATCCGCCCACCGCCGCCACCCACCAGATCAAGTGGTTCAAGGCCAAGGCCGAGGAGCGCAGCATAGACCTGGCCACCACGGGTGCGGTGCCTCGGCGGTCCAAGCGGCTGGCGCATCTGCGCGCTGGCCTCGTGCAAAGCAAGCCTCTCTCACATGCATGCCTCCAATTTGGTCTTGCTTCACTTCTCTCAGAGAAGACTATGCCACCGTGACACGCACACCCCTTCCCGCAACTGTCCCTTGTTTGTTTGTCCCCCCCTCGAACAGCCTTCGCCACCATGACACAACACTCCTCGGCCCACGCAACCCCATTGACACCCGCAGCCCCGCAGCCAAACTGCGCGGAGTACGTTGAGTTCCTCAAATCCCTCCACTCCCAGCCTTACGCGGTCCAGGCAGCCGTGTTCTGGGCTATGGAGGCCATCTACAACCAGGTGGGCTGGCCGGGGTGGATTGTGAGAGAGTGAGTGTGTGTGTGTGTGTGTGTGTGTGTGTGTGTGTAGCGTAAGTGCTGGTAATCCAGGCTTCCTGGCCATTGGCGTGGCATTGCTCGCTGATTATAACCCCTCCAAAAATGCACATCTACGAGATCTGACCGGCCCTCGGGCTGCTGCTGACAACGGATTGCGAGTATGAGAGCACATATTATGCATCACGCGCATACGCGCGCGCGCGCGCGTGTGTGTGTGTGTCGATATGTGCATGTGAATGAGTGAGTGTGTTTGTGTAGACGAGCGCATGCGCGTGCTCGTGCACGCACGCAAGCCTGTTCGTGCGTCTGTACGCGGCGTGGCTCTCCAAGGCGTACAGGAGGGTCGGCCCCTGCCTCTGGCAATCCCTGTTCTTAGGAAACCCGCCTGGGCATAAGGGACCAGCGTATGCATACGGCGTCTTTGCGCCTGCCGAAGGCCCTCTGCGCGCACGCGCAAATGTCATCAAACACATGTGCACTCACCGCAGCGTGCCCATTAGTGACTTTTCACGCCGTGAGCATGCGCTGCTGCGTCCCCACCTGCCTCCACCCCTGCATGCGCCATGTCCCGCGTCCTCCAGGCGTGGACTGGCGTGGGCGAGGGCCTGGCCGACCCCAAGTACAGCGAATTCGTAGACAGGTAAAACGCGGATTTTTTTTACCATTAATGTCATCGCCATGATCTGCTCTGGCACCGTGATGCTGGCCTGCGTGCAACCCGGCCCGCTGCTGTGCAGGCCCCTTGCTCCTCCTGCTGTCCTCTCACCAATCACACCACCGGACTGGTCAAACTTGCCGAGTCCCCCTGCATCGCGGTGCTACTGTTACCCTAAACCCTACCCCCCCCCCAGGTGGGGCAATGCGGGCTTCGCGCAGTACTGCGTCGACCTGGAGGCTCAGGCTGACGAGGCGCTGACGTCATCGCCGCCAGAAGTGCTGGAGGCGGCCGACGCGGCGGTCAAGCGCGCCGTGCAGCTGGAGCTCGGGTTCTGGGGCATGGCGTACGCGGCGTGACATCAGCACACTGTTTTTCTGGTCGTTCCCTGTCGTGTTTTGGCTTGTTTGATGCGGGCGGCGTGCTTCTTGTTGCCAACAGCTAGCAAGGTGTGTTGCAGTTATGGCTCTGTTGTGGTGTTGCCGCTTTTCTTGCAGGGTATCTTGCCCGCAACCTCAGGGGCTGCCAGGAGGCAGTGCAGGTATTTGGCTGTGATGCTGCCTGATGTCGCTTTGGGCATGATGGGGCGAGGGTCTGGTTAGTTGGGCGCTTGCTTGCGTATGTTCAGTCATTCTTTCCTCTGGTGACCGCCCCCACGTGCGTCAATTTCCCTCGGTTGTCCTCTGTTGAGCACAAGCAATTGGTTGCTGGCCGTTTGCTTTTCATTGGGGCCAATTGCAGGGGCAGATGTGGACTGCCAGGCACCCAGCAGCGGTGGGATCGTTAGGTGGGACGTTTGATGGGCCAAGAAGTTCACGTACATCCACTCGTCCCGGCAAATATATCGGAAGGAAAACTTATGACAGCATGGGTAGACGGCTGCAGCTGCCCTGGCACAACCAGAAGCAACGGCTAGCACCTGCCATGTGGTTATGACACGTCAATGTCCAGGACTTTGCTGGCCGCCAAGTGCTGCAGCAGCCATGCGCGGTGCGCGCGCACCTGCCCCGGGCCGGGATGGACCCAAGCGACTGCATTTGGGCCATTGTCGGTTGCGGAGTAATTACACAATGCAGCATCGCCCCCACCCCAGACGCCGTGGCGTGTGCACAACAACACAGTATCACTTGGAAACTCTCCTGATCCAGTGGAACACAGCCGTGGCCACCTCCGCCGCAATGGCTGAGAAGGTCCATTGCCCAATTGCCGACCTGGGCGCGCGCCTAATCGGGTGCCCGGCCGTGCTCTGGATAACCGTTCGATTCATTCTCCTAGCCACCACTCGCCAATACACCCGACCTGATTTACTACCTGCAAGGTGTTTGCGAATTCCAACATGACCCACGTACCTTGGAGGTCCCGCACCAAATCACACCATTGCCCTGTCTGATCTACATTGCTTTCGGTGAGTCGCAGGGCCCATACACACTGATTCAGTGTGTGAGGTGTGCCGCGTGCAGCGGCAGGCGAATTTGTGGCTGCGATGCTGTGCATGTGTATGTCGATCACATGGTGTGACACGGCAAAACGGAAGCAGCCGCTGCAAGCTCGATGAACCAACTGTTGCAAAGCACCCTGATTGACAGGGTGGGAGTCTCCTCACTTGAGCTTGCTTGCTGTTTGCCCCAGATTGCTTGAAACTTGTCACGTGCACGGCAGCTCATGTGTACTTATGTAGGCTGCAGCGCAGGTATTAGTCAAACTGTAAAGAGCCGCCGGCAGGCATGCATTAGGCACTATAACCATGGCTGCAAGAGCAAAGCACCCCTGTAGTTGCTCATACAATGCAGGTGGTGGCACGCTGCACGCGACGCGTGGCATCTCCACCCTGCCCAGCTGCCCGAGTATGTGCTTGGCACCTGAGTAATATGCGCGTCACGCCACGCACACAAGCTGGAGTATGTAGATGCACCAAGCTTGTTGGGCACAGATACTAGGCCCGATCAACTAACGGCTGGGTGGTGACATTGGCTGGTTGGCCACAGACACCGTGCAAACAAAGTAAAGGCCACCCACAGACCCTTCCAGGAGGGCACGCACTCGTCTGCAGGACCAAGTGATCACACTAGTGCCCAATTGTTTGGCGCCCTCTGGCCATGTTCAGCGCCCTTTGTACAGTTAGTGTTGATCGTGGCAGTGATTACAGTGAAATTTGGCACATAGAAACACATGAGCCACCAAAAAAAATAGCTGTGGAACAAAGAGAAGACAGCGAGCACCCTGCATCGCTTGACCTGAGGACAGCACTAGGGGGTAATCCACCGCAGTATGGCAGCGCGCGCGGTTTGCACCAGCTTTCAAAGGGGGGTGGGGGGGCAGGGCGCTTTGGCTGCAGTGGGCTGCCGCGGCTTTGCCGCAGCGAGCTTTCTTTTCTCTTTTCCGCTGTAAAACACCGGCGGGTCAGCTGTAGCTGTAGCAGCAGCCTCCCCTCCACCGGAACCCAAATGTTTGGCGCCCTCTGGCCATGTTCAGCGCCCTGTGTACAGTTAGTGATGATTGTGGCAGTGGTTACAGTGAAATTTGGCACATGAAAACACATGAGCCACCAAAAAACTAGCTGTGGAACAAAGAGAAGACAGCGAGCACCCTTCATCGCTTGACCTGAGGACAGCACTGGGGGGTAATTCACTGCCTGCTGTTGCCGGTGTGCCGCAAGGCCGCCGAGCTGCAGGCCCGCGGGCTCCCCCCACACACCACCCAGGCGAGGGGATAACCTGTATATCAGGTGGAACTCTTAGGTGAAACCATCTTCTAGGTTTGACGGGCGCGGTGATGGGCTGGCCCAATGTTCAAATCAGTAATTCAGTAACTGTATGCGGCTGTCCGGGTGACCCAGCTCGCTCGGTGTGCAACCCGAGTTTGATCCTGTGGGCTTCGCCCCCAAGTACAAATACCGTTTGTCACTGCTGTAGACCTTCATTCTCAATCGCATCTTGCGGTGGCCTGAAACTCGTTGAACTCAGTCCATCAGTCGCATTTGCCGGTGAGTTGCAGGGCCCATAAGGCACCTCAAGGCCTGCGATCCACTCTCAGTTGCTTTGCGCTGCGCTGGAGCTGCTGATGCTCGGCCGTTGAGCCCCCATGGGGCTCCCCCGGGCTGCCACGTCCTCTTGCTGGCCACCCGCCTGAGCATCTGCAAGCCTGTTCGCTGTGGTTCTGGCCTGTAACATACAAACCATAGTCGCTCGCACGGCAGCGTTCGCTCGCACGGCAGCCACCCGGTAAACGGCATCATGCCAGCGCCTCGCCCTCTGAGTTGTCCTGGCATGGGTCACATGCAGGCACCCTGTCCACACTCCCCGGCTGGGTCATCCTGCATCGGCGAGCAAAGGCTGACAAATGCACCCTGGAAGCTGTCATGCAGCATGACAGCCCTGCTCCTGCGCGCTGCCTGCCCTCTCACCTCCACTCTTCCCTGACTTCGTCACCTCTCTCTGCACCGCAGCCGAGAAGCCGAGATGGCCGCCCGCACTACCCTCGCCGTCGCGTCCCTGGCGCTGCTGGTGGCCTGCGCCGCCGCCGCCGCCCCCGCAGCCGTCGGCGCGGTCAACGCCCTGAACCCGGAGACCTCTGCGGCCCTCGCCAAGGTGCTGACCTCCAACGGCGTCGTGTTCATTGCCCAGTTCAAGCTGCTGCCCGGTGTTGACGTTGATAAGTTCATCAAGACGCGCGAGGGTGCGTATGACGGGTTCCCTTGTGGCTGGTGCAGGGGCGGTCATTCCACCGGAGGGTGCTGACTTGATCTGCGCATGCAGGGGCCATCTGCCACGTGCGCCAAAGATAGAATTGCACGGGGGGGCAGCTGTACGGTCTCACCTTGCTTCGAAGCCCATCCATGGTACTGGGCTGGACAGGCAAGCCTGCCCGCCCGCAAAGGGGCCCGTCACGCGCGTCCACGTTGGATTGAAACCTCCACATCCTTCTCAAATGGAGCGTCCCCCCACCCCGTTGCAACTGCGCAGCCGTCATTGCCAAGTCCAAGGCTGACCTGAAGTTCCCTTACAGCGTTCTGTACGTCAAGGTGAGGCCGGGCCAACCTGATTTTGCATGGCATACAAATTCTAGTGAGGGCCCATGGGCCGTGGCTTCATTTCGGCTCAGCGCTGGCACCAGCCCGGCTGTTGACTTGGGTTTCCAGCAGGAACGAATACGTCCTCACCAAAGTATGCCCCCAGAGTGCGTTTCGTCAGGCATACAACCTCACTCACCCACACACTCCTTTGCCTAAGACTGCTGCCCACCCATGCGTGCCCCGCCCATCAACCAGGGTGCTGCCCCCAAGACCGAGACTCTGGCCCAGGGCCCCGCCAACCTGCAGTACTACGATGTCGCAGCCATTGCCTCCTACCCGACCCTCAAGGTGCGTGACCCATGTGCTGCTCAAGCCTCAAGGCAGCCACATGCACGTGATTTTTTGTGGCACATGTTTGTCGGCGTGCTTGCATGGAGGTGTGTCTGTCATGTTTGAACACAACAGGCGTGCGGGCGCTTTGTGAAGAGTGTGCATGGGTGTGGCAGAGGTGTGCAATTTTCGCAACGGGCGCGAGCCTGGGGTCGTGCTTACACTACATCGGGATGTGTGTCAACCTTCACACACGACTCTGCTTGCACCATGGGTTGCGATCAAGCACACCCTCATCACAGACGTGCGCATGTGCACGTGCTGCTTACGCATGTGAGCGTGTTTGAAGCACTCTCCCATGCGAGAGCAAGCGCGCAAAAAAGACCCTGCATGCGCCTCGCATTCCAAACCGCATCCAGGACTACACCGCTGCTAACGCCTGGATTGGCAAGAGCGCTGAGTACCAGGCAACCACCAAGCAGGTCAAGGAGGTCGTGCGCACTGTCAACGTCGTCTCCTAAGCATTAACAGCAATCTCGCGTGTCGTTGGCAGGGCTGGGCTTGCCCCTCTGGGGAGTGTGCTTGCCACAGCCCTACTGCAGCGTGACCGCGATAGATCAGCCTCAAACCAGCCATTTCAATTGCAACCAACCATGATTGAGCTGTTATGGTCCTGTGCTACAATCCTCTGCTGGCATGCAAAGTTGCACACAAGCTGAACAGCTCGCTCTTGTAATATAATGTGATGATAAGTTTGATGCACCAGATGAAGCGCCTACTCTCAGTTGTGGTTCAAGTTGGTGAGGTATGGCTGAGTCAGCTTCGTTTGTTGCCTTTGGGTTTGCATAGAGTTGAAGAACAGCCGCCCAATGTGCTGCAGTAGTCCGCCTACACTGTTTGTGGACGATTTCAAGTGCATGGTCACATGGCCAGGTGCTACTCGGCGGCGGCTGGAGCACCGCAAGAGCTGTAGACAAAAGGATGAGAAGCACGCGCACAACAGTGCGTGCAGAAAAAAGGGATGAGCAGAGCAACAAGGTGCAGAAGATACGCTGCAGAGGAAAATCAGGCCCCAAGAAACACACTATGGAAAATACCCGCCGCGTGCTCGGCTGCCCAGGCAAAGGCGGGACTGCGCCAAGCCAACCTCAAGGCCAAACTGACAAGCCGTGGCGCCCACTGACACGCTCAGTGCACGATATGGGCCCGGGCCAAATGCCTGGCCTGTGGACGCTCAATACTCGCTGAACCGCGTGTGGCCCGTGGCCTTTGCGTGCTCCGCCGCCTCGCGCTCCCCCTTGATCCCGATCTGGCAGACCCCGCAGCGCAGCGCAAAGTTTGCGATGTCCGTGAACTGGCGCGCGTCGTGGCACGCGGCGACGAGGCGGGCGGCGCCTGCCGATGCGGAAGCCTCCTGCTCGCTGCCGACCTGGGTGCGAGGTAGGGCGTTGTTGGGCAGAAGCACAGATAGGGTTCAGAGGGATGCCCGCGAAAGATGCGCCATGCGGCCTTGCTTGGCTGCTGAGTGGCGAGCGACGCAGTGGACACATATATGCAAAACAGTCGAAGGTGCACAATGCAGCGGTGGCGGCCGCCATGGAGGGCAAGCTGTGCGGCAGCCCCTGCGGCGACCTGCGCATTGATGTGCAGCCGCTTTGACATCCCATCTTGCCACAAGGTTGCCCACACCTGCTCACGGTGCACACAGCAGCGCCCGAGCCCACGCACGCATTCGCGCGCACACCCATACGCCACACACCTACACGCACGCAACCCACTGCATGCATTAACACACGTGCACTCACAAGCATGCATTTCCATACCTGCAGCACTGTGACATCCAGCTCCTCTGGTGCCCCCTCAAACGCCGCGAGCGCGAGGGCGTCATAGTCTGTGAGGTGGTGAGGGGTGGCAAGTGGGTGCTGATTAGAGGTGGGGCCGCTGCGGTCTGCTGCAGAGGAGTTGGTTGCGCAGCGGACAGGGGAGGGGGGCGTGTGAGTGGCAATGTCAGACACAAGTGGTGGGCAAAGGCAGGGCAGGCAAAAAGTACATGGTTGGACAGCCGCAGGTGAGGGCGCTGCGGTGTTGGGCCGGGCGGAGGGGCAGGCAACGAACAGGGACGGCTGCAAGGGCTGCCTGCCCAAACCCTGTGATGCGTCCCCGCCCCCAATTCAGGCACATGTGATCATCACATGGCGCGTCCCAGGCGTGACTGATGATGAATGTTACTCACGCAGGCCGTCGTAGATCACCATCACCCGCTCCTTGTACCCGTTTCCCTGCAGTTTGAAACCCAGGAGCATTGCCAACGCGCAGGAACCCACTGAGCACAGGATGAGAAGGGGCAGGGCCGGAACACTCCTACTGCCGATGCGGGACCTCTCATGCATAGCTTGTCCAAGACAAAAGGGACCCTGACCGGCGACAGCAGGACTCGGCCCCTCGCGCGCGCGTCGCGGCTGGCCTGCACCTGCCCGTACACGTCACAGCGCTTGGTCTGTATGTCGTACGCCGCGATCTCGCGCCCATAGTGCGTCGCCAAGATTGACAGCTCGATGGCGCCGCCCCATTTGTCTGGCTTGAGGATCCAGGAGCAGTATGCAGGGTTGCTCTCGCCCAGGAAGCCCTCGTTGTAGGTGACTGAGGGAGAAGCGGGGGCGGTGGACGCAAAATAAAGGGGAGGGTGTTTGGGGGATGGGCGATTGATGGGAGGAGACGTTCGCGTTTGCATGTGAATTTTGGGGATGGCGGGTTGCACTTGGTGAGAACGCGCACTCATTGAGATGGCTGCCCGCCCACAGGGCTTCCAGACGTCGGCCAATGTCCTGCAACGCGCTGACGCCCGCCGCCTGCCGCGCACCTGGGTCGCTCGACACGGCCCTCGCAATCACCCGCCGCAGCTCCTGCGCTTTGGAACGCGTCGCCTCCATCACGTAGCCCACCGCATTGAAGAGGCACGAGTTGTCGCTGGCAATGATTCGCCGCGCCACCGCGCACCCGTCCGGCAGCGCCACTGACGTCGGCGCCGGGCGCGGCGGCTTGCTGGGGCCCGCCGGCTGCGCCGCCGCCTGCTGCGGGCGCGGCTGCGGCTGCGGCGCAGGCGTGTGCGCGACGGCCGAGCGCAGGGCGGGCGGCGGCTGCGGGTGCGGCGCAGTCGCGGGCGCCGCTGCGGGCCTGGGGGCCGGCGGGGG